AATAAGAGCCTTGACCCAAGAAAGAAATGACTTCAAACAAAAACAGGAAGCCCTTGAGAAGGAGAGAGATCAGCTCAAAGAAGATATACAAGATACCGTCTCGATGGTAAGTTAAACATGGCAGAGAAACAGTAGGCAAAGAGCAGGTGACTTTATCATTATGGACCATATTTATTCTTTTGGAACTTTTAATTGATTGGGTATGGTTAGGAGTTAGCAAGGATTCGTCTGAAATGGTATAGGGCAGCGATGGCGAATCTTTTTCACTTGGGTGCCAAAAGCGCCCGCATGTGCATGCCCACATCCATAATTTTACACACACCCCATGACTTGCCCTCTGCACATGTGGGCGTGACACCCCACCTACCCCCCGCTGCCTTGTGCAAGTGTGCACGGCTTTTGGAGCCTGGGGTGGTGGTGAAAACAGCTTTCCCTGCCCCCTGGAGCTGGAAATGCCCCCCTAGAGACTCCAAAGGAGCCCTGTACTTATCTGTCATCCAAATTGGGCCACATAGAAACTCCTAGGAGGGGAGGAGCAGCGTGGGTGGGGCAGCTGAAAATCAGCTGGCCAGCACGCACATCCATGCTGGAGCGAAGTTAGGGCAACGGTCCGCATGCCACCTGTGGCCCGCATGCCACAGGTTCGCCATTATGGGTATAGGGTCTCCTGCTTGAGCAGGGGGTTGAACTAGAAGACCTCCAACTCTGGTGCCTTCCAACTCCATTGTGCTTTTCTGTTCTGCTACCACATGTAACATCAAATTGTCCATCCCTGTATTAAGAAAACAACAATATGTAGGAGAAAATATTATTTGAATGGTCACTAAATGAACTGTTGTAGGTCAAGGATATGGCACCCAGGTCTTAGCTGGAATCATTAAACTGTTTTGTCTTAGCCTTTAATATGTAGGATGTCATTCCAGAAAGAGTTGTACTGTTAAATTGCTCAGCATGCTGCCTATTTCAACAGCGGTAGAAGTGCATGCATCAACAGAAATAAGCTGGAGTAGAATAGTATGTGATGCTTAGCCAGAGGTGGGATTCAGCTGGTTTGCATTGGTTTGGGCAGCATCAGTTTTACATATATTTACGTATTTTCAAGTTATTTGAGGGTGGAAGGAAAATGTGGAGGAGGGGAGATGATTCTTAAGTATTTGCAAGGAATTCATTAAGATTATTGCAAAACAAAGTTAAAAACGATTACATTTGACAACTTTTGATGCTGCATTTTCAGTATATTAAATTGTGTTTCACTTATATGCTATAATTTCCTGAAAAATCAAAGCAATCTACCAAAAAGGAAGAATTAGAGGAGAAGAGCTTGGAGCAAGAGGAGCTGTTCACACTTAAAAAACAACTGGATGAAGCGCATGAAAAGCTGAGTGAAATGGAAGAGCTCAAAGATCAGTTGAAGGCTTGGGAGTCCAAAATGGAAGCTGAGGAGGCACAAAAGTCAGAGATGATGGAAAGACTTCAGGAAATTATAGCAT